TTCTTCGAGCCAAATTTGCCAATTGCTGCTATATGTACAACATAAGAGACAAGATAAGTCCTAAAATCTAAACTGCCTGGATATCTCCTAATGCATCTGGAATAACTTTTTCCTACTAATAAAATTCACTGTAAACAGTTCAACACAAACTGCAAAGGAACTTGAGAAACTTAATCTACATTTTTCTTCTTGTCTACGTGTAAATTACTGGTGCGAGCCTTACCTACTCTTACATATTCCTAGAGGTAAAGTGGCCCTTGCAAGGGCTTCCACAATGAGGGCTTTATAGAATTTTTAAATCCTCACCTTCATATCCTTTTTGTGGAAGTTCCTTTTGAATGCTGGCTTAACTCTCTGCAGTCTTCTTGGGGCGAATTCATTACTTTTGCATGATTGCTCCTAATTACTGGTATTCATTATGCAGAAAATCCCATACCAGTTTTCTGTGGCATATCTTCCTAACTGCAAAACAAAGATTATTCTTCGTAATTTGCAAGGAGATCATTGGACAGTGAATTCAGTCCCAGACTCAAAAGGGCGAATGGGACATACGTTTTGTGGAGGGTGGATGGCATTTGTTCGTGGCAACGACATAAAGATGGGTGACACCTGTATTTTTGAACTCACTAGCAAGTGGGAAATGTATGTTCATATGTCTGGGCATGGAAAAAAAGGAATTGAGCATCAGCTTGGAAGATTAGCATCTAATGAAATGCTTGGTTCTTCAGCTACCGGCAACCGGTCTCCAACGTGAAACATACAAAAACCATTCAACCATCTGTAAAAATCTGCGGTGAGCTTTTGCCATCTGAACTCTATTGTCATTTCATTGATGTAGGTTGGCTTGGGCAATTTTGAAATTTAGTTTAGCTTTTCTTGAAAGTGATGGAAGTGTCCTTCCATTTTCTTAACAAAAAAGTGGGTCTAGCTATTCCGTTAGTTGGTAGCCCATATAACATTAGATTACTTGAGAAATTTGTAGTCTGTGTGGCATTTTCTGAAGTAACATTAAAAAATGGCATTGGAAGATGCATGCTGATCAAATAGCAAATCTCTCCAGAATGGCAGAAAGCAAAATTTTGAAGTTTTTTCATTTTTAAAGAGAAAATTGAACTTACCTCGGCCTTGATATTTCTTTTACATGAGAAGGGACTTTGATTGAAACCATGGTTACTTGTAGGAATATTCATCACAGACACTATAAAATGTCTGATGGAGAATTTAGATTTTCAGGGATTTGATAATGTTTTGGAATTGTTAAAACTCTCTTTTATCTCGTACATACACACATGCAGATATATATAGCTTCTGATTTGGAGAATTTAGTTGTCAGAGACGGCAAACTTCTGGTGGTGCAAGATATTCTTTCATGTTTGAGCTCAATGCAAGGTGCAACATGCTCATGCATCTTTTTTTAGAAGCTTAGCAGCTAATGGATGTGTCTTTTGACGTCGGACTAAAGCTGGACGAGTCATTGAGCCTTATTTGGGTATTTCAGTCATCCTTCGCCAAGATATTGCTGTCTGCTTGTCCCGAAAAGGTTTTCCTCAATTAAATATTCTGTAGCCTCAGAAAACATTATTGTAACTAATTGAGAGATTGATGGAGAGGGAGCAAATTTTTCAGAGAGCATGCAGGAAAAGTCATGGATGCCATTAGTTCTTAGGTTTCCAGACAACTTCAATACAGATTAATGGTTAGGGAAGAAACTCCATGCTAAGGAAAGTTTAGTAAGACCTGAAAGAAATGGAAGCTGTGTTGATGCCAATGTCCGGCACAACACTCCATGACCTGCTTAATTGTCACAGGCTGATCTGTGGTAGCACGAGTTGGCCTTCATTCGCACGCATTACATGCTTGTCATGCCGTGCTGCACCTTGTTATAACATGATACGATTTAAAAAAAAAAAAAATCAAGAAAATATTTTCATTTTTATTTTGCATTTAAAGTTATTTATATTCTGTAAAAATTCTGTATTTTTTTTTTAGATTTGGAAATTGTTACTTCATATTTATTTTTCCATGAATTATATTTACACCTTTTATC